ATCTATGGAAAGCAGTGACTAGTTCTGCCACGTTAATGACAGAAAGCCTCAATTTCTGGCGAACGGAAAAATGGGATGTCTGAAGGTGAACTGTGGTACATGGATTCCACAACCTCGCTGACTGGCTCCTAAGATTGAAACCACGTCAACAGGACACAAAGCTTATCTTGTCAACAGTTATGAAGAGAGAACTTGTTGGGACGAAAAAATGCAAGTTTTTGGTTCGATCTCTCACTTGTGTATCCGACAATCGGTAAATCGGTTGATTGCCACGTTCGCAAGTTTCTCAATTGCAAGCGAATCTCCTGTTTACTTGATAAAAAATTCGATTTCGCACATTTATATTTTTGTAATGCACTACTCATAAGGTCGCTGAATACCCCTCGACAGCCCAGCAACCTTATGAGCAGTGCACTACAAAAATATATATGTATCGCGATATCTGGAATATCGTAGTCACTGAAACATGAGGTGGCCTGGTGCAGCACATTCTGTTGCCTGGAAACATCAAAACCGAGAGATGCGGCTGGGTGTCAGGTGAGTCTCTCGAAAAACCAAATTAGTTTGCAAATGATTGTATACTCGCCAATTTCGTGCTTGATCACGGCTGGCGAGTCTTGGAGGAATAACTTGCTTTGTATTGAGTGTAGCCATCTAATTCCACTAACAAAGGAGCAGTTTGTTCTTCTTTTATGCTACACCTCTGCAGTCCACTCACCTGTGTCGACCGGTTTGCTGCAATGAACAATTTTGGCCAGTTCCACCACGTCTATTAGTGACCCTGATCGAATAAATTCTCACCATTATGGCAGCAGATTTGAGGGTTAATTTGTAGTCATATCACCTCGTTTACTAACGACCGACAAGATTGCCTTAAGTGAACAAGTGTATGACTCCCTGGTTCCACTAAATCTATCGTGTTCAACCGGTGCCATCAGCGGTTACTGCAGAGGGGTTTTACCTAAACACCGTAGCAGGCATTTCGTTCACTGTGAGCGCACTTATCAATCGTTCAATGGTATGACCAATGTACTGTACTCGCTCTGAAATGACACGGTTTAATTTCCGCTGTTTTTGTTTGTTACTTTTTTACTCAGGAGTGACGACGCTACTCTCCCTAACAATGCTGTTACAACTTGTCGGTGACAAGCTACCTCAAACTTCTGCAGGAAATCCGGTACTTGGTAAGTTTAGTAATGAAGTACTGGTTCTGTTAGAGTTGTAGCGGTGTAAAGGATCAAGAAATCCTCCACTTCCTCATCATCATATAAGTAAATTGGAGAAATCGTGATCTACGTGAATCCGGGAGTGTTGAATCCTGCTGGCTATTCTGCCAGATCATTTTAGCTTTTGGAGGCTTGAGGACCAGCGTACCAGTTCTGAGTACCAAGTTGTTCGAAATAACAAGGGTTATGGAGTCAAATCCCACATTCACTGCACATAACAGTATAGTCCGCTTTCACATCTGGTTCTTGTTAACTGACATCCAAGAAGGCCAGTTTACCTCAACAGTATCTACTGCCATCAGTCAGTAGCTGAACGTCCGTACAGCAGAGAACGATCGATTAACAAGGGAGTTCTAAACTGAGCGATAGGCAAGCTGATCGAACTGACAAACTGAGAATGCTGGCGTGTGTGTGTGCATGTGTGCGTGCGTACGTGCGTGCGTCGTACCTGGTCGAGCGTGCATGCGTGCGCACGTGTTTGCGTGTGTGCATGAGTGTCTGTACGCCCCAAATTGATTGGCTGACCCGAACCTGGGTACACAAAGAACCTCAGCAGATAAGCGAATGAGAGCGCTACATGCTTTATAGACTTCTGCAAGCACTCGTCAGGTAGCATTGCGCTGTAAGTGAGAAGATGGTCCCATACAACCACAGTTATCGGGAGCTTTATCCAATTGAAGAAAGTAGACCCCCCACCCACTGAGCGCTCATCCCAAATGCCAAGAAACAACCCCGATGGGTAGGGTAATCTCACTCAAAAGTCTGAGAGCTAGCAACATGGGTCGTACGAAACGGGGAACCGAAGTGCAAAGCAAGACCAAACTACCGAGAAATAGCGACTGCTAGTCATCCTTGTCCTAACAATAACATCGTTTGAATTGATTTGATTGTTAACTTGTCCGCTCAGCTGGGCATTTTTTGGTTTTAGACATCCTAGTCGAGATCGAAACATCAGTACGTCGATATGCGATTAGCCTGAACCACGTGCCAATGGGTTCATTGCTGATTAGTTTGCGCTCGTACACTCACTGCTACCCGGGGTTGACATTTGGTTACGACTGGTTCTCCCGCTAAATGTTTCTTTGCGTGTCCCGTTGGCTCTGTCAACTTCGAAGTGACATTTGAGTCTGACCTGACCCGGTCGTGCATCATCGGTGACTGATAACCATATCACGGTATAATGATGTGACGTGATCTTCCACAATTCCAGTTATCTCTTGGCAGGTTTCTCGAGGAATTTGTTCTGAGGTCAACCCACTCACTAGGTGATAACTAGTTGATAATTTGTCATTTGTCACTTCATAAATCCACATATTTTTTGGCATTTCAGTGCTCTACTTCACCTGTACAATTGTACTTTGCTCACTGTCGCTCGTGTGTGCGGTTGTTCTACTCAACTGCCATCACCACTCTGGTGGAATTCTCCATGTACCGTGGCTGGTGAGTTCCGAGATTTTTTGTCACGCACCTGGTTTACACATCGACAAGTGCACATCATATAGCGACTCTAAGAGACAAAGAATAAACCAGCCCTCCTCACTCACTCACACACTCACTCACTCACTCACTCAACCGGCCAATTTGTGAATGCCCCAGGATTCACTATGTACTTTGTATTGATTAATCATGATATGACTTGTGTTCTGCCTCAGTAATATTCGGTCGAAGTCCCTTTGCAAAATTGTTATGGTGTAACAAGCATTCCCTGAAGTTTTCAGTAAGCCCGTGAGAACGGTTCCACGGACTCACAATGTACACATATTGGAACAGAGGTAAGTCGACTTTAAACACACGAGGTCTGATTCCTTGGTTTTTAGTTTGTCGACCCAACTTTGGCTCCAAAGTTGACGAATTGCGAATCTCGTTGAAAGCACTATTCATTACTGATGGGAAAATACCTCTGCTAGCACTGGCGACTTGTCTCGTATTAGGAGGAGTTCCACACCAATACCGCTTTACTGCTCGCAGTTAGGCGCTGCTACGCTCCGGGAGCCTATCCTGCACAAGATTGGCCAAAAGTTCGGGCCGCTTGCCGGTCCGGCATGAAGGCGAGCTCTGTTTGGTCGAAAACTAGGACCCAACAGCTAATCATAACCCAGTATTCGTCCAATGCCGGTTGCTAATGCCACATCAAGAAGGCGTCAGACTTTCCAGAATGTTGTCGCGGCATACACCTCATATACACGTATGCTGTACAAGTGTTTTTGACCTGAATTCGGGCACCTTTGGTTGTTGTTTTTAACGGGAACGCTAGCCTGGGCAGTTCAGATCGAGAACTAAGCTGAGGAAATACCGCTATTACATCTCAATATTCGGCTGCGGTGGTACTTTAGTTACCAGGGTCTCAAATCGGATAGAAAAGCGTCAACTTACATGCACACTATTCAAAGGTCCCCACCCTACCCTCAATATCTTAGTTGAAATGTCGTTCCAACTTGAACCAGAGTGGTAGGGAACTCCATTACCGGCAACTGAACATTTTTCAGATTCCAGTCATTTTTAGGCTTAGGTTTTTGTATCGTTCGAAAATCAAAGGATACACCGAACTTTTCAGGAGTTGGGCGCTGGTCCGAGCCCGTTACCACTAAGCTAACCACAATTTGAACGTGATCACTATCATTTATCGATTTACCACGTTATCTCATCATTTTGACTCCGAAAATATCAGGGTCACTAGAAGGAGCTCCGTAGTTAGGGCTCAAAAGTTCCAACCAGAAAGTCTCAACTCAGCTTCTGCACCTCGACTGCCCTTGTCTGCGCTTGGGCTACCTGTTAATACCTCAGTCTCTGTGCTTCTTTCGGGTGGTATGGTAGCTGGGCACCGAAAAGGTGTCGCAGCTGAACGACATCCTATATTCCTTGTGTTAAGAAGAGAACGTGACCACGAAATTCTCCCACTGAGGCAAGGGAGCTTTTTCGTCGCTTGGAAGCACGAACTCTGGTTATCCAAACAACTGAGGACTACTCTCTGGCATCCTAACCGATGGTATAATTGACACCCGTATTCGAATGTGGCTTTCTCTGTGATCTGCTTGCCTTATTATGTTAGCTACATGACCGGTTTCACCACAAAGTTTCGAATGGCAGTTTATTTTAGTTAGACGGCATTGATGTACAAATGTAAGGACCAAACTTCGGGGTACTTAATTAGGCGCCAAATGCGGAGAATGTTGCTGCCGGTTAAAGGAAAAAGGCCTTCACTGGGCAGTTGTTTATTAGAAAACACCAACTAAACTCGCGGAGAATGTTGGTGCCGGTTAAAGGAAGAAGGCCTTCACTGGGCAGTTGTTTATTAGGAAACACCAACTAAACAGTTACAGACAGGAAAGCAAAACACTCATATGCATTTTGATTACAAAAACTGAATATCCATCCTCTCCTTCCTGAACTTTCCTGGATATTCACTGACCATCACTTATATGTGAACGAATACTGCAAAGCAATTCCAAAAATTCCGTAATAAACTTCACTTTTCAATAGACGCGGAGCTGATTTACGAGAGAACATACTACTTGCATACCTCATCAGTAGCATCCACTGTTGCACTGGTAGCGAAACCGAACAGGGAATGGATTGGGACTGCTGTAATTCTATATAAATCAGGGACATCGGGGGTTGTTCGAAGTGTTCTAAACACGGCTAACATAAGGGTAGCTTCTTAGAGGGGAAACACTCTGTGATCGCCAGAACCAGAAGCAAGCTCCAAGAAGAAGAAGCAAGGAGCAGTATTAATCATATAAATTCCAATCGACCTCACCCATCTCCCCTTTCTCCCGTCCCCCCAACTAAATTGTCGCAATACTCACAAGCCCTCAAAGACCACCGAAATTTGCGAGTGGCACCGGAGGTGAATCATCAGGTGAGGCACCCTGAAGTGGAAGATTATGGAACCAAACCCGATCGGAACTAATTCGAAACTCTTCAAATCCACGAACGCAAGATTTTGTTAACCATAGTAACCGATAAGAGCTGTCAGTTGACGCACAAAACTGATCTAGTGCCCCAGTATGAAGAGGTCTTACTGACTGGTTCTCCGTCTGCATTAAAACCTGGCCAATTTTGTAAAAAGCGAAATGTTACCCAAATAAAAGCTACCGCTTGTTTACCAAGCCCATCTGAAACGAAGCATTCATGTAGATTTAGCCCGGTATACCTGAGTAGTATGTTGCGCCCAGAGAAATTTCCTTATTTATGACTATTCCTGTGCGCTGTGTTGTCCAAACAGATCAACAAAAGTCACATGACTGCCTCATCTCATGTCGGTTCAACACCACTGAAATTCCTGGGTAATGTCACAGTAAAAATCCTCAAACTGTTACAGCTATTATGGAGAGCATTTTCTCCTGCATAGGTTGCGAACCAATGATTTCACGTGAATTTTGTCTAGATTAATCCAACCACCAAACGAATTCGCCTAACTATTTCAGATTGGAACTTTTGTGAACGTCTGGCTTGCAAGCGTGCTGCGAATCGATCGAAGTATAGATGACTCCGTTTCGGTCTCTGATGCGGCCTCATCTGTGGATTCACCCAATAGGTATGTGAACCACTTCACAGCATCACCACTAAAACTTGAAACAGCTGCAGTCAGAACGAACACAGAAGGAATGGGCACTTCAACAACCGGAAGGCGCTTAGAACCCTGGACCAACAATATCAACGATATGGAGTTTGAATTTCGCCCAAAAATACTGAAAAATATCAGCCAGAAGAGTCACCTGCTCGAAAGAGAAATTCCATTTTCGGATCGCATAGAATTACGAAACTTAGTAGCACCAACTTTTCTCCAGAGAAACGAACTTCAACAAGTTCCTGGTGGCCAACCAAGACGACACTTAACGACTCATGTTTTGGATGAAGGCAGCTACTCGTCCGGAATGGAATACGCTTGTGCTGCGGAGAGTAATTGCCAAGGTGAGTTATAATTCTGACGGTTTTCATGCACTTCCAGGTGCACTGTGCAGACTTTCATCAGAGGAGTGTCACTTTTCAAGGTTCGCGGCTTTCGAGTGCTTTGTCAGCGGTATCTGGCTTGGGGGCAGCGCACGTTTAAAGGAATAGAGTATCGGTTACTCGTGATACGGCAGTGAAGCATCCGTATTGAACACTGATGTCATGCTGTCGATGACGATGAAATTCTTAAGAACGCCCAAGTGATTGCTCTTAAACAGCAGGACCTCAGCTATTGTCTGTAAAATTGATTTGTTCACCTACCTGCCATGGTTCAGTGTGTTGTAGATTCATGTAGTTAAACCCTAAACTAAAAAAGTTAGTTACCATGCTAAGAGAATTGACAATGTAGTTAGACCCAGGGTGAGACGGTTTGGCGATTTAGAAAATGTCATTCCTGATTGTTGTTTCAATCTCACAGTTAGTACCCGGGGGACAAACACACAAAAAAGGAACACACTCGAAGATCCAGCAAGTAACTGTGACCACGTGATGTGGATTCCGTGACTGAAGAAGACGTGGTGTTATATCTCATCTACATACATGTTGATCATACTGTTGGTCAGCCAATCATGAGCAGACAGTCAAGTTTTCAAACCACTTGCCTGGAGGTCGCGGGTTCGAGCCCCGGTATCACAGTTTCGTGAAGTGTGCACGATTCCCAGTGATGCAACAGCTGTACACTGATTTGCTTTTCACGGGAGACTCAAGTGAACCTCTCGTTTATGATGTTCTTAAACTGAATGTGCTGCAATTGAGTGTATTTGTCGAAATCAGTCCAATTTGGGTTCAGGTAGAACACAAGGTTGATGGAGACCCCGGGAGTGTGCCTATCTGATGAGACCCAACAAGTGCTAAACCGGTAGTGGAATGTCGAAGTTTTCAGCAGCCTTATGAGCCTTATTTAATCGTCACCTGGTCAAATGCGGTAGCTAGTGGACAGCTGACAGTATCTTCGTGACTTTATCGGTTGTAACAACATTGGTGTCCTTTCCTCGGTCCTACAGTTTTAATCTCTCTTCAGAAAACACCGAACTGCCGGCACAAACTTTCTCTCGGCACCGCAATGATCCCAGCACTCCACAAAGGAATAACTTCTCTGAAGGACCATTGAAGATCATATCGAGGGCCCCATCTTTGTCCGATTCCCTACCGTCCAATCACACCAATCGAATTCGTCCTGTGTCCGAACAGAACTTCAACGTAGAGCGTCAAGTGCGTGAATTTCACGAGAAGGCTCTGATTCTCAAACGCTTGAAAGATTTGACCAAGGAGATTCGCTACGTGACCGGAAGAATGCATCATAAGGATGCCGAGTCAAGAACTTCAAACGAATGGCGATTGGCCTGTCGTGTGTTGGATCGCCTATGTCTAATTGTATTCGCAGCTCTGAACCTGTTCACAACGTTGGGGATTCTGACCTCAGCACCTACGATAATCAAGGCGTTCACTACCACCGGGGCACCTTCTCAGCCAATGTAATCAAAAACGAAAAATAAAGCACACCGTTTATCTATGACAGCATGGAGAGAAAGTCGGGGAGAAGTCGGCTTACGGCTACGTGGCGTCATAATTATCTAATTTTGCGGACATTCTATTTACATTTTATCGAGTAAGATTTGTGAACCTTTAAATACTGAAACCATACCTCAAATTCCGCATTTGTTTTCTCATAATACTATGTAGTATGATTGTAAAAAGAAGTATAAAGACGTGACAAGACTCTGGTTTTTTTCAACCATCAGTAGATCACGGCGTAGTGTCACCATACGGAAGTTGCGCTTACATAGTGTGTGAAATCGAGTGCTTACGTGCCGTGGACACTTGAGATTACACGAATTTTCTGGAAAACAACCAAGTGATTTGATTTTGGCCTGCTTTGAAATGACAGGGTCGTAGGAGACTGTATTCATTTCGATGCACCACGCAGTCTGTCTGGAATTCTCCGATGTTTGTAGCCAGTTACGACACACATGGATAGGTTGACGTCAGCGAGACAGATGATGTGTGATCAATCGATCAAGGTCATCTGGATTATCGATCAGTCGAATTGCGAGTGTGCACACACAGTGGTTCACGCACCACGAATGTGCCGAGCATCTACACTGAGTTGTTAGCTGGCTTTTAAACAGAATGAGGCGGTTGATACTGGAGGCGACCGTGAGCTAATGCGAATTGACCGAGTTAGTTTAGGTAGCGAAAGAATCCGCGACGCTTGAGTTGGTGAAAAAGAACGGTTTTGCTAGGTAAGCCTGACCGTTCCGTGGGAAACGATCAAGTGGACCTGGGATTGTTGCAAAAACTTCGAAACAGACCTAAGCTGGGTGCTCACGGGTTTGTTGTCTGAAGTCAGACAATGCCGAACCGCCTGTGTTCGGACAGGATGGCGACCTAACAACGCAGATATATTGCACTTTGTACTTTAACACGGATTAGGAACAGCTAGCTGGAAGTGTTGATTTCTAGTGCTACGTATATACTGATAGCTGCACAAAGCTGTATTCATGCAATCACTCAAAATCAAACTCACACAACTCCATGCAGCTTAGCACAGTATTAACCGGCGTACTCGTGACAAGCCTCACTCACCGAGTCCTCAGAAACGCTGCGTCGGTGACGTGCTAGGCATCAAGATACCACACGAAGAAAACAATTGGCGAACTCCTAGAATCTGCCTGTCAATATCCAGCGCAGCTTAAACAACCAAATGGAAGAGGTCTTAGAGAGCCCACGACAGGTTTCGGTTTCCCAACTCGAGCTCATCAGGTGAGCATGGTCTCCGAATTTCCGTCAAACTCATGTTCTAATTGAACCCAACTTGGACGGAATTTGTCGTGCGCGCTCTCTCTCTCATTTAGATTCAACTATGATTTGGACGAGAAACCCAAACGAATCTCTCGTTTGTGGTTGTGCTTATCATCGTGACTGCATCCACCTCGAGTGGGCCTCATGATGGGTGGAACTGGTGACGGGCAGTCGAAGAGCTCTTTGCAATTTACCGCGATATCTCGAATATCAAGCCACATCAGGTGGCCTGCTGCAAGACGATCTCGACTGAAGGAGACCACCATAAATCGGAGATTCAACTAGAGTCGGTTGGGTGAGATGTGAAAAGAGATCTTCCATTTCTTGAGGCAACATGAGACCGATGGAACTATTCCAAGGTCCGTAGTTCGCAGGCACTCCTCACTTTCGGTAAATACACTCGTTTGCAAATCAATGTGGTTTTCATGTGAGGCTCAACTAAATCTCTCGTTTATGATGGTCTTAAGCAAATGAATGTGCTGCACAGAGGCCGCTTAATAGTTATTCGAGACATCGCAGCATAGTTTCCTAAAGGAAAGCACTCACATGGTTTCAGACGTCTCTTCGTCAAGTGTAACATAAAGTTGATGGAAACTCGGTGGGTGGGCTCAATATGGAAGGGTAAAACTGGTCGTGGGTTGTCGAAGAATTTTCAACAACCTTATGAGTGGCATTTTTTGCTGTCCTTCCTAAGGTTCGCGTTCGCACTAGGTGAGGGTTGGAAGAGTTGAGATGAAGCTTAAAACACGTACAAAAGTGCATGTACTTTAGTGCGTCGTACATATGATTGATCAGACAGACCGCACAAGGACCAGCTGCAATCAATGGTGATTTAGCCCACTCGACCACCTGATATTTCATTCACTCTGACACACTCTCACACCAGTCAAACCAAGGTGTCTGTTATAGTGATCAGGACAAGTTATTTGGGCCTATATGTTCACGTTCCTTGGAGGTATAGCGATAACCAGACAAAGGCCGAACCTGCGTTAGAACACTGCTTTCAGCCTGGATCATTTTTGAGCTTGGAATTGTATGCGCTTCATACATTTACAGACCTTTTTCATTCAGATTCCTGAAGGAATCCAAGTGTTTCGCATTCATCAAAACATGGGAAAGCTGAGTAGTTTGGGCCACATATCCCACGAGACCACGATTTCCGGCTGTCCACACGTTACAACAAGTTTGAAATCTAATTTTACTTAGTCCAGATGCAGCACACTACTCATAAGGATGTTGAAAACTCTCGAACAGTCCCTATTCACTAGAAGCGGACCATCATAAACGGAAGATTCACCTCGTACAGCGGGGTCTACTACCAAAACTAATTTCGTGCGCAAATGATAATAATTAGGACTGAGTGGATTGTATTAAATATGCCTCAGGACGAAGGACGAGTGAGTGAGTGAGTGAGTGATACTCAAATTTTCATCACTCGGTAAATGAAGAAGTACGATGTCTGCCACCTCATCTGTGGCATGACTACAAGAGTTTGTGACGCCTCGTAGTCGAAAGTCGCCACCAACTTGCTTCCTTTGAAGCTGGGGATCAGTCTGTTTTCGACCCAACTGCTTACCAAGGCCTTACATTTTTCTGTTTCGGGTGGGCACCCTAAAGATACTAACGACGGTGCACAAGCTCACACCTTGTTGATGTATGCATTCCTTCTTAATCAACATTACTGAATTCCTGGAGCATAAACTGCGGTTCGAGTGACCTGGCTTAATCACAGACCTTGTTGCTGTGTTTTGAATCACACACTCAGATTTTTGTTAACTAAGTGCAATAGATTAGCGAACTACCCTCATTTGCAAATTAATTTGGTTTTTGCGAGAGACTCACATGGAACCTAGCTGAATCTCTCGTTCGTCATATGTCCGGGCAACTGAATGTGCTGCACCAGGACGCCTCATGTTT